GCCGTACAGCCGAGCCGCACAGCATTCCTACGCTCTAATAAACACTGCTTCGCCCCCTACAACTTACCGCGCCGCTCCTAAAATTAATTTCCTTTTTGCAGCGCATAATTACGCAAGGTAAGCCGAGGCCATTGGTGGGCCCCCCGAGCCTGCTCGCGGTGCTCTTCGCTGCGCTGCTCAGTCCACGCCCCGCGGCCCCCGGCGCCCCCGGCCCACAAAGACCCTCAGCGCGGCCCCAGCGACCCATTGCCGCCCGGCTGCCCCGCCCCGCGACAAGTACCCTTCAGCGGAAAGGCGAAAGCAAAGCTTTGTTTGGCCCTGTCGGCATTATTCTCGAGTCGCACGCCCCCCCTCAACCACCCACCACCCCTGCCTCCCCTCCCCGACAGGCCGATGCTCGCCGCTGGGATTGCGGATGTAGATCTGGAGAGGGCAGCATACATGGCCGGCCCTTTAAAACCACCCCCTCCCCCTCGTCCCCGTTGCTACGACCCCGCCCCAACAGCCCCGCAACGCCCCGCCACGCCCCACGCCACCACACCCCACCCACCCCGCCTCTCGAGCCAACGTGAACGTGAGCAGGGGCCGTATAACCGCATTATCCCCATCGGACGGTTCGGCCCCACCCGCTCCCCCACCCCCCGTGGTCGCTTTCCATCCCTGACGTTCGGTCCCCACAGCCAGCAAGCAGGCTCCCCCCGGCCACCCCCCACCCCTGCGCCGCGCCCTCCCTGCCCACCACCAGCCCTCTGATCAACGCGCCAACCGGGCCGATTGAAAAGGGGCCGTAAATCTACATAATTATAGGCTGTCGACCAGCCCTCGTTAGGTTGCAGGTCGGCGGGGAAGAGGGAGAGGGGGGGGGGGGGGGAGGGCACGGGGCTACTGCAAGGCGACGGCGCCAAGAGACTGGGTCGAGGACAAAGTCACTCACCCCGCCCATAAAGCGCGTCGTCTCTCTGAATCAAAGCCTGCGGGCCGGGGCGGCCGCGGCCCCGCGGAGGCGCAAAGCGAATCGGGGCGACTATCGACAGGGCGGGGCGCGGCGCGACGGGGCCCGATGCGCCACCCGTAACTGTCCCGACCGTCCCGACGCGGCCGCGACCCGCTAGAGAAGGAGAGGGCCGTTTGGAAAAACCGCACGACTCCCATTCCTCTCCATGCGCCCGTGCGTTGCGCCGCTCATCCGTGCCCCGCTCTTCACACAAAGTGCCTCGGGCGAGGCGCTGGCGCAGTATAAAGGCGCCGGGAGTGCGGGGCAGACGACGGCCCGACGGCCCCTACCCGTCTGATCAGTTTCACGGTCTGCTCGGCGCCCCGCATAGGACCCGTCCGGCCCCGACGGGTGAAGGCGGAAGCGGTCGTGGCGGCGGGGCGGCGGACTGCGTCACAAAGTCGGGAGCGGGACCGCAGACCCCGCAGACTGAGGAGCAGGCAAGTCTACGAGTTCATGGCGCGCTCAAGTGACACAAAAGTGGCACGGAAGCGACACACGGCAATGGTGGCGGAGGACCGAGTCCGCCCGACGCGGGGCACTCGAGCAGCGACGACCTGTCCCTGCTCGCGTCCTTTGCTGGTCTGGCCCGAGAGTGGCCGCGTCCTCCGGGGACCTCCGGGAACCTCCGGGCCGACCTCCTCTGCGCTGTTGCCGCGCCAGGCCAGCCCCCGGGGGTGCGCGCCAGCCAGCGCCAGGCGGAGCCCCTGCGAGGGTAGGCCATGCCGCACGACAGCACCGCGTCGCGGGACAGCCTAGCCTCCAGGCCGCAGGGGCTCCGCATGGAGCGGGACGGGAGGCAACATCACGACAAAGCCGCCACTTGGCTTTTCCCGCTAAAATTTTCTCTCTGGTTTATTTTTTTTTAAAAGCATATGGCGTGGTTTTTTTGTGTCGAGTCGGCGGTGGTGGAACCCCGCGGGGCTCCTCTTCATCTCCCTCCTGCCGGCCTAACTAACTTCCGCCCCGCCCGCTGCGGCGTGCATCCCTTGTGTCGCCCGCCCGGGCCGGGCCCGCTCGGGACTGCACGCCGGACTGTTCCGCGTCTCTCCTCTCCACGCCCATGGCGCTCCCCCTCCCTCTTTTCCCTCGCTCCCTCTCACCCTGTGCCCTAGTGCTCCTCTCTCTCTTGTTCTCACTTGATCCCGGCGAATTCGTGGCTCTTTGCCCAGACATCGCGCATGGCTGCGCCAGACACTCGACCCGCCACGAACTCCCCTGGCCCTCCCCGCCCCGCCGGCGCGACCCCCGCCAGCCTATGCGCCCGTACACTGCCCGCGCGCGTACCTTCCTCCTCACCTGCGTCGTCGTCGCCGGCCCCGAGGGCGTTGAGCGCGTCCGCCACATCGATGAGGTCATCCGGAGACTCGGCGAACAGCGGCGCCACGGAGGCCTGCTCCGGGGCCGCGAGGCTGTCCAGGCCGAGGCCCAGGGGCGGCGACGTAGCGGTGGACAGCGAGCTGCTGCTGGCGCACGAGTCAGAGAGGCCTGTGGAGGACAGAGCAAACGTGAAACAGAGAAAGCGAAAGGGATGCAGAGGGAAAGAGAGATGGAGGGAGGAAAAGAGTACGGCGCACGGAGAGGACGGAACAGGGGACGGCGCCCCAACTCTCTACGCCTCGGTACACTCGACGAGAGACCAATTATTTTCACAACCGCTTCCCGGCCGGGATTTTAATGGTTGCGTTCCTCGGCGGGGTTCTTTTGCAGCCTCGCGGCCCCTCCCTCCCGCTCCACAATTGATCTTTGCTGCTTTGGTCGACGCCAATAAGTGAAGGATAATCGAATCAGCCCGGCCGGCGGCGCCCACTGAGCGCGCTAGCTGAGCGCGTGGCGGCCGCCGCCAGCCGAGCCGCCAGCGCCACGTCGCGCCGCCCCGGGATTTGTCGACATGATCGACGGCGTAGAAAATCGAATTATCAAGCTGCTTGCCTCGCCGCAGCCCGACCACGGCAAAGGCTTGCGTGAGCGCGCGCAGCGAGACGATTTGCGACTTTGTAATTTGTTTCCAGACTACTCCGCGTGCTCCTACTGTTACAGTCCAATGGCGCGGACAGTCGGCGTGGCAGCCGCACCGTCGAGAGCAACAAGCGAGGCGGGGCAGTTTTGTTAGTTGTGTGAGAGAGCAGTTTGCATCTTACCCGTCTTGCTGGCGGTGTCGTCCTCTGGCGGGGCGCTAGGTTGGAGGGCGAGCGGCGAGGCGGGGGAGGAGGCTGAGGCGGGGGGAGGGGAAGAGGTGTTGGATGTTGACGTGCTGTTGACGGATCGTAATCGAGGAGCCTCTCCCGGCAACAAACACACGGCCGCGTTCGACGCGCCGCCCTCGGCAGACAGGGCGTCTGTCGTCGTGCTCGTCGCGATCGATGACTGGTCCACCTGCCCGGAGCACTCCTTTGTGTCGGCTGGGATGCGGGTGGCGGTGGGCGTCGTAGTGAGCTTGGCCGTCGAAACTGGAGCAACGTCTAGAGACTTGGAGACAAATGTCGGCACGAGTCCCGAGGGGGAGAGCGCTTTGGAGAGGATGGGGTTCATGAGGATGGTCTGGGAGGGCGCCGAACAGATAGACTGGGAGGTCACCGTGCACACCAGCGAGGTGGTCGTCGTGGAGTTCACGGCACCCAGGGGTGAAGCATGTCGGACAGCTGGACTAGTCGAGGACGTCGCCGGGAGCACCACAGACGCCGTCGTCACCGTCGTCAGCAGCGCGGTCGGGCGGACGGCCGCGCTGAAGGCGCACGAGGTCACCGCGGACACCGCCTGTGTCGACGTAGGCGCCGCGCTCAAGGTGTTTATCCTGGTGAGCACCAGAGAGACAGGCGGCGCCGAGTAGGACGGGAGGGAGGCGATGACCGACGACAGCGGGGGCAGCGCGGCCTTGGCGGTGGACAGCGTCGCGACGCCCGGCGCGACGGGCCGCTCCTCCTGGGACGTGCTGGTGGGCTGCAGGTCGGCGGGCGCGGACAGCGTGCGCGCCAGGATGCCCACCGGCATGGACACGCCCCGGGACGCGCATGTGGTGGTGGCGGTGGTGACGGCTGCGGAGGTGGCGGTGCCAGTCACAAAGGTCGTCCTCGACGCCACGGCCAGGCCGCCGGACAGCGCCCTGGAGAGGATGCCCCCGCTGGCCGTGGAGCCCGACAGGGTCTTTAGCCTGGGCAAGCTCGGGAGCAGGCACAGTTTTCTGCCCAGTGAGTCGGTAACTTCAGTGGACATCTGAGCAGTGAGGCGCGGCCTCTTGATGGGCGGGGCGCGTGGGGCCGCGCCGCCCAGGCTCAGGAGCCCGCCGGGGAGCGTTCGCGGCGCCGCGGCGTCCGGGCGGAGGGTGCCCGTCGGGGAGGCGGCCGGCAGCGGCACGCCCGGCAGGCGAGCCAGTGCGGGGGGCTGTTGAGGGGCGGCGGCTGGCGTGCTGGAGGGCACAATGCTATGCGTGGTGGAGGGCACCATGCTCTGCGTGCTGGAGGCCACCGTCGCAGGCGTGGTGGAGGGTGCGATCGAGGCCGTGGCGGTGGGCGTAGGAGCAGGCGTGGCGGTAGGCGAGGCGGTAGGCGAGGCGGTAGGCAAGGCGGTAGGCGTGGTGGTAGGCGCGGCGGCGGGCGCGCTGAGAGTGACGGGCGTCTCCGCCAGCGGATGCTCCAGGTTGGCCACCGTTGTCGTGGCCGGGGCTATGACGGCGGCGGTGACGGTGGGCTGGGTGTTCTGCACCGCCGCACTAATGGCGTTACTGCCGGCCGCCAAAGGCGCTGATGTGGAAAGATGCGATTTCGGCGACGCGCTCCCCACGCAAGGCGGCCCCTCTAACGAGGGC